TCTTCTCTCGTCTCCGCTAGCAGTCTCTCTCCTCCTCGTCGACCTCTGACGTCGTCTTTCCTCTGTCTCATCTCTCCAGGGTTATTTGGATCTGTGCGGGGCCTGGCTATCTCTGGGTGGGGGTCTGCCTCCGGGTCGGCTCTGCTCTCCAATCGGTCCCGTCTGTCTGTCTCTCTCTCTCGCGTCTCGCGTGGTTCTCATCTCTCGGTCGTCGGGGTTGGTCTTCTTCTCTCTCTCTCCTCGCGGTGTCTCGTCGGGTGCATCTCGGTTGGCTCGCTCCTCTGCTCCTTCGGGCGTCGTGTGGCTGTTCTCTCTCCTTCTCTTCAGTCATCTCCTCTCTTCTTCTCTTCGTGTCGTGGCTTACTGTCTGTTCTGTCTCGGTATCGTCGTTCTCGTCCTCGGTTCGTGGTGTCGGTTATTCTTCGTGGTCGGTGTCGGTCTCTCTCTCTCGTCTTTCTTCTCTTTTAGGGTCCTGTTCGCTCGTGCTATTCTGGGCTCTCCTCTCCGATCTCTCCCCTCGTAACTCTCTCGTTGTCTCTGTCTCTGGTCTGTCTCCTCCCCCCGCGGAGGTATGGCACCGCCGTCTGTTCATCTTGCTGCGGTCTCTCGTCTTCTCTGGTTCTTCCGTCTCTGCTCTCTCAGTGTGTGGTCTCATCGTCTTGCTCTCGGTCTCCCATGTTCTCCTCTCTGGTTCGTTCTCTCTCGCATCCCTCTCCTCTGGCTCGTCTCTTCGGGTGTACTCTTTCACCTTCTCCCTCTCTTGGTGCGTTTCCCTCTTCCTTCCTGCTCATCTCGTGTCTCTCTCTGCTCTCTGTATCTTCTCTCTTTCTCGTCTCGTATATCTTATCTCTCTCAGTCTCTCTTTCTGGTTCCCTCACGTGGCTTCCCTCCTCAGTCACCTCTCTCTCTTTCCCTCTCTTCTCTCTTCTCTTCTCTCTCTTCTCTCTCTCTCTCTCTTCTCTCTCTCCGTCTCTCGTCACTCTCTCTCCTCTCTCCCCTCCCCTCCCTCCTCCTGCCCTTTCCTCCCTTCTCCTCCTCCCCTCGTCTCGTTCTCTCTCTCTTCTCTCTTCCTCTCTCTCTTCTCTCTTCTCTCCTCCTCGTCTCTCTCTCTCTCTCCTCTCTGTCTCTCTCTCTCTTTTTTCTTCCCCGCGTCACTCCCTCCCTTGGCTCTCTCCATTCTCTCTCTTCTCCCGGGGCTGTCGCCCTGTCGTTCTCGTCTCTCTCGTTCTCTCGCATCGTCTGTCGCTCATCCTCTTCGTCCTCCTCTCTCTCTTCTCTCTCTCGTTCTCGTCTCTCTCCGTGCGTCACCTCTTCGTCTCTTTCTTACTCTGTTCCCTCCCCTCCCTCCCTCGAAGCAGTCACTCCCTCTCTCGCCTCTCTTTCCTCTTCTCTTCTCTCTCTCTCTCTCTCTCCTTCGTTGCTCTCGCTCGCGCTCTCTCTCAGGGTCGCGTCTTCTCTCGTCTCTCTGTCTTTCCTCTCCTTTCCTTCTTCTCATTCTTTTTTTCTTTCCCGTGTTCCTGTGTCCTCCGTGCGTCCTATCCTCCTCGCCTCCCTCCTCTCATCTCTCCTCTTCGGCGTCTCTCCTTTCTCTGTCGTCTCTATCTCTCTCTTCTCTCTTCTGCTTCTCGGGCTTCTTGCTCTGTGCTCTCGTTCTTTATTTTTAAATCTATTATCTTTATCTTTATCTTTATCTTTATCTTTATCTCTTATCTCTTTTATCGCGCTTTAGCTTTTCTCTTCCTCTCTCTCTCTTCGACCATCCCCTCCTCTCTTCTCATCAGTCCTAATCTCCCCTCCTTCGCTCTTTCGTCTCGTCTCATTCTCTCTTCTCACTTCTCTCTCCTTCTCTGAGGTCTCTCGTCCCCTCGCCCGTCTGTCTCGTCCCTCTAGTGGTCCCGATGTATGGGGTACCCCTGATCCTGCCCTCCTCTCTTCTCTGCGTCTTCATCGTTCTCGTCATTAATCTCTCTCTCTCTTCTTCTCAGTCTCAGTCTTCTCTTCCCTCTTCTTCCTCTCTCTCGCTCACGTTCTCCGGTCTCATCTCTCTCCCCCTCTCCTTTCTATCGGTCGTCGTATCTGCGTCCGTCTGATAATAGCTCTCTCTCTCTCGTCTGTTCTGCTTCTCTCGAGTCTTCTCTCCTCTTTCGCCTCCCTACTCCTCTGGGTCTCCGTCCTCCTCCCTCCCTCTTCCTCTCTACTTCTCCTCTCGTTCTCTCTCGTCTCGATTCTCTCGTCTCTCTCTCGTGCTTCTCTCTCTCTTTCTCTTTTCTCTGTTTCGTCTCTCTCCTCTTCCTCTCTCTCTTCCTCTCTCCTCTCCCCGTCCTTTCACGGTGATTTTTCCCTCTCGCCTCTCCCCTTCGTGCTCTTGCCTCCTCTCCTCTCCAGCTCTTCTCCCTCATCGCCCCGTCTCTCCTCTGTGGTTCCGCCTCTCGCTAGTCCTCTCTGGACCCGTGGGCACATCGCTCTCGCTTTCAGCCTCTCGGTCTGCTCTCTCTCCTCTCTCTGCTTCTATCTCTCAGTCTGCTCTGTCTCTCTCTCCTTCCCCCTCCACCCCGTCTCTCTCGTCTTCCCCCTTCCCCGGTCTCTTCGTCTCCTTCCGCGCTTGCCGCGCGTCTCTCGTCGTGCTTTCCCGCTTGCCCGATGCGTCTCTTTATTGTGTCCGTGGTCGTGTGTGCCTTCTGTGTCGATCGTGTGCCGGTTTGTGCCTCGTTTGCGGGTGTGGTCGGTCGCTGTTGCGGCGCTTGGTCCCGCGCCGTCTTCTCGTCTTCCCCCCTGTTCCCCGTTCTCTCTTCCCTCTTCTCTATCATTTCTTTAACAACTTTCCCCCTTACCAATCCTTTCCAGTATCCATTGCTATTAAAAAAATAACTATCATCGTGCAAAAGAAGTGATATTGAAAACTTTTAGCAACAAATGATTGGATTTCACCGTAAAACTAGTGATCGAAAATGGCGCCAGAGAAAAACCGTTACACGCACGAAGTTTGAATTTGGTTCGTGTTGTGATTTTTATCCTATATTCAAAGTCATGTTCATTCGTGTTTGAATTTATTTTTTTTCTAATTTGATTATTTATTTTTTTGTTTATAAATCTGCTTAGTTTTTTTCTTCTTTATTATACGCCTAGTTCGCATTCATACTTTTTTTTACGTATATTCGTGTTTTGTTTTACATATTTTGTTTTTTTTCTGTTAGATTAATTAAGCGCGTCACTGTTTCTCATCCAAAAGCAAATGAATTCTTACTATTTCTATTATTATTATTATTATTATTATTATTATTATTATTATTATTATTATTATTATTATTATTATTTTTTTATTATTATTATTATTATTATTATTATCATCATTATCATTATCATTATCTTTATCCTTATGATTATTATTATTATTATTATTATTATTATTATTATTATTATCATCATTATTATTATTATTATCATTACCGTTATTATTATTATTATCATTATTTTTATCATTTTTATTTTCCACTGCACTGGTGTCCGAAACAGTTCCGGGATTCAGTATGTTTTTCTTGAATCTAAAATCATAAACTCAACTTGGAATTCCGGTAATTTTTTAATTGTTTCCTTGCTCTTCACTACGAAATGATCTAGACAATGCTGAAAGAAAGTTATTTCGTCATTTTCCTCTGAGTCTTAATCTCCAGGATTTTTCCGTACGTTACTTTCCCGTTTTCTTCTGAACGGTAATTTCCCGTTTTCTCCTGAACGGTAATTTCCCTTTTTCTTCTGAACGGTAATTTCCCGTTTTCTTCTGAACGGTAATTTCCCGAACGGTAATTTCTTTTCTTCTGAACGGTAATTTCCCGTTTTCTTCTGAACGGTAATTTCTCGTTTTCTTCCGAACGGTAATTTCCCGTTTTCTTCCGAACGTTATTTTCCCGTTTTCTTCCAACCTACTCTCCCGTTTTCTTTCGAACACTACTTTCCCGTTTTCTTTTCTTTTTTCTTTTTTTTAATGGGTCACTCATTTGTTTTATTCGGCTGTTTATTGCCGCCTAAATTGCTTTTTATACTGATGTTCGTTGTTTTAGATCAAAGAAAAAAATAAAGCTCTTTCAGATTCTTTCAGTACAAACCAATAGAACAACAATTATTAATTAGTCTATTTATCTATTTGTTATCTTATGGTTATTATGATTTTTTAAATCATCATTATCATTAGTATTAAATTATTATTTTATTATTATTATTTTTGTTTTTATTATTATTATCATTAGCAATATCATTATTATTATCGTTATCATTATCATTGGTAGATTCATTATTTTATTACTATAATTGTTGTTATTGTTATTATTAGTATTTTTGTTGTCATTATTATTGCCACAGTTATTTACGTTATTATTATTATTATTATTATTATTATTATTATTATTATTATTATTATTATTATTATTATCATTATTATTATTATTGCCGTTGTAATTATTGGTATTACTATTGTTTTAAATATCATTGTTGCTATCATTATCATTACTGTCATTATGATTATCATTACTATTATTGCTTTTATAATATATTTCATTATTATTTAATTATCGTTTTGTTATGATATGTTTTTTTTCTCTTATTGTATTATTATCATCAATGTTATTGTCCTTTTTTAAATCATTACTATCATAATTATTATCATTGTTATTATTATTGTCAATATTTTTTATATTATTATCATCATTCTCTGGCTTCAAAGGTTAGAGAGAGAGAAAAAAAAACTAATTTAACCAAACAAAAAAGAAAATAAAAAATTCTTATCCTCTTTTTTATTTGTGATTATTTTCAATTCCAATTTATTCCTATTATATTTATTTTCATTCTTTCATTCCCGTTAATTTAATCAAACAAAAAAGAAAAAAAAGGCTATTCCTTATCCATTCTTTATTTATTCATGATTATCTTTTATTCCAATTTATTCCAATTATACCTATTTCCCTTCTCTCATTCCCGTTTCTTCTCTTCTCTTCCTCCCCCCCCAGAACGAATGCACGGCGGCGATGGATACCTGTCTTCCCCGGAGCGATCGCCACGCCCCTACGGAGGTCCCGGGAGCGCCTACCTCACGCCCACGCCCAGTTACGAGGACCCTTACTACGGCGGCCAGTATGGGTCTCGCTCCGGCTCGGTCACGCCCATCATCGACGAGGACGCGCGGTAAGTGAGGGGTGTTCGTGGGTGTTTATGTCGCGCTGTTGGAGAGCGCGGGGTGTTGGGGGTTGTTGTGTGGTTGTGGGGGGGTAGAGGGGTAGAGGGGGGGCGGGGTAGGGTTGTAGAAGGGGGGTTGTAGAGAGGTAGTTTGTGAGTGTGGTTTTGTAGTTAGTTTTGTAGTGTATTCTGGTAACGATTTTTTTGAGTTTTGTTTTTTTTTGTCTCTGTTCTCTGTTTCTGGCTCTCTTTCTCTCTCCCTCTCTCTCTACCCCTTTTTCTCTCTGCCTCTGCCTCTCTCTCCCTCTCCCTCTCCCTCCCCCTCTCCCTCTCCCTCCCCTCCCTCCCCCCCTACCCACAGCCTTCTCCCCTCTCCCTCATCCTCCTTCCCTCTTCCTCTCTATCTTCCTCATACCCATTCCCCTTTTTTCCTCCTTTCAAAATCACCTCGACAGTCTCTGCAATACTCTATTATTTTCCTTCTCATTTTCTCCCCTTTTTTTTAAAGACATTTTCCCTCAGATTTCGCAACAAGAGGATCTCGGGGACATAATCCGTACAGTACATTAGCCCGTTATTTCAGGGTTATAATTCCCGCTATGGGATAATTGTACTTCGAGACGTAATTGGCTCTCTAATTGGTCTTTAAGGCTGGCGGACTGCAGACGGGTTCGTTCTGGAGGAGTGGCCTTATCCCGGTCACCTTCGGAGGGAAACCCAATTGGTTGTCTCTGTGTCTTTTTCCTGTTCTTAATTTTCCCTTTTCGGACTGAGGAAAATGGGCATTCTGGAATTTTGGAATTTTGGTGTATGAGTCGAAGTGAAAAAAAGGGTAATCCAACTCTTTTTCTCGTTTTGTTTCTCCCCCTCCTCCTCCTCCTTCTTCTTCTTCTTCTTCTTCTTTTTCCTCGTCTTCTTCTTCGTGTTCGTTTTCTCTTCTTCCTCCTCCTCCTTCTTGTTCTTCTTGTTCTTGTTCTTCTTCTTTTTCTTTTTCTTTTTATTCTTCTTCTTCTCCTCCACCTCCTCCTCCTCCTCCTCCTCCCTCCTTCCCTCCTCCTCCTCCTCTCCTCCTCCCCCTAACCTTCCTCTCCTCCTCCCCCTAACCCTCTCCTCCTCCCCTAACCCTCTCCTCCTCCTCCTCCTCCTCCTCCTCCTCCTCCTCCTCCTCCTCCTCCTCCTTCCTCCTCCTCCTCCTTTCATCTTCTCTCTGGTGTAAAAAAAAAACTTGACAAACCTTGGCTCGTTTACCGCTGAAGAAAAACCTCATTCAATTGTGTCCTAACTTTGATGGCAAGTGCTGTGCAATCCAATAACCAGTGATAAGGCTTTAATTTATGATTGTATTTGACGTGAGCTTCGTGGGTGTTTGGGAATCTAATGAACGCTAAAATTTTGAGTATAAAGTGTAATCATTCTTTGTTTTTTTTCCATTTTACGGTCTCGGGGGGGGGGGTTGTTTGTAAGACTAATGGTGATTTTTGGAATTTTGAGGAGTGGGTGTAATATATCTTGGTATGTACTTCTGCGGTTTTATGGAATAAAATTCGATGACGTGGTATGCCAGGCCTTGAATTTATGATTATGATAAAACACGAGCTTAGCACCTGTGTATTCCTCCTTATTCTCGCTTACAATCTGACTACTAGTTGTGGTGAAATCGTCAATTACTCATTATGATAACACGAGCTTAGTACCTGTGTATCACTGCTTATACACGGTTCCAATCCGACTATTAATTGTGGTGAAATACTCAATCACTCATTATGTCATTAATTTTAAACAAGACTTACCATTTTTGATGACTTTGATGTCCGTTTTAGGCAGCTGTGATAAAATTCTTAATAGATGTAGTTTCAGGTTCAGTGTGATGAGGTATTTTTATTTCTGGTTATAATGGCATGAACTCACTGGTTAAAGAAGATAGGTGCTGATCGAAGGAGGGGGGAGGGGGTTAACAAGGCGTGGCTGTTATGCGAATTATGGGAGCTGGATAAGCTTGAGGAATTTTTTTTTTTTTTTGGGGGGGGGGGATAGGGAGAGAGAGGGGGGCGAGGGAGGGAGGGAGGGAGGGAGAGGAGGGAGAGGGAGCGAGAAGAGAGAGAGAGAGAGGGAGCGGAGAGAGAGAGAGAGGGGAGCGAGAGAGAGAGAGAGGGAGCGAGAGAGAGAGAGAGAGAGGAGAGCGAGAGAGAGAGAGAGGGAGCGAGAGAGAGAAGAGAGGGAGCGAGAGAGAGACGAGAGAGAGAGAGAGGGAGCGAGAGAGAGAGAGAGAGAGAGAGAGAGAGAGGGAGCGAGAGAGAGAGAGGGAGCGAGAGAGAGAGAGAGGGAGCGAGAGAGAGAGAGAGGGAGCGAGAGGAGAGAGAGAGGGAGAGAGGAGAGAGAGAGAGAGGGAGCGAGAGAGAGAGAGAGAGAGGAGCGAGAGAGAGAAGAGAGGGAGCGAGAGAGAGAGGAGAGAGCGAGAGAGAGAGAGAGGGAGCGAGAGAGAGAGAGAGAGAGAGAGAGAGAGAGAGGAGCGAGAGAGAGAGAGAGGGAGCGAGAGAGAGAGAGAGGGAGGAAGAGAGAGAGAGAGGGAGCGAGAGAGAGAGAGAGGGAGCGAGAGAGAGAGAGAGAAGGAGAGAGGAGAGAAGAGCGAGAGAGAGAGAGAGGGAGCGAGAGAGAGAGAGAGGGAGCGAGAGAGAGAGAGAGGGAGCGAGAGAGAGAGAGATGAGAGAGAGAGGGCGAGAGAGAGAGAGAGATGCGAGAGAGAGAGAGAAGAGAGAGAGAGAGCGAGAGAGAGAGAGAGAGAGAGCGAGAGAGAGAGAGAGGGAGCGAGAGAGAGAGAGAGCGAGAGAGAGAGAAGAGAGAGAGAGAGAGAGAGAGAGAGAGAGAGAGAAGAGAGAGAGAGAGGAAGAGAGAGAGAACGAGAGAGAGAGAGGGAGCGAGAGAGAGAGAGAGGGAGCGAGAGAGAGAGAGAGGGAGGAGAGACGAGAGAGAGAGCGAGAGAGAGAGAGAGAGAGAGAGAGACGAGAGAGGAGAGAGAGAGAGAGAGAGAGAGAAGAGGAGAGAGAGAGAGAAGAGAAGAGAAAGACAGAGACAGAGAGAGAGAAAGAGAAAGAGAAGGACAGAGACAGAGTGAGAGATGATAATGGCAATGATGATAAAGAGAATATAAGTGCGTTCCTGCGTATAAGGTCTCAGCAACTATAATTTTCCGTACCAGAACAAAAAATATTTCCAAGTGGATGCAAATATGCTTAAACCTTAACCTTGTGTACATTCGCTGTCGTGTGTTCATTTTCCACAAAGATGATAATGAACAAACAAAGTAGAACAGGAGAGAAAAAAAATGCTGAATTAGTTAAAGGACGGATGAGAGAGAGAGAGAGAGAGAGAGAGAGAGAGAGAGAGAGAGAGAGAGAGAGAGAGAGAGAGAGAGAGAGAGAGAGAGAAAGAGGAAGAGAGAGAGAGAACAGGAAGAGAGAGAGAACAGAGAAGAGAGAGAACGAGAGAGAGAGAGAGAGAGAGAGAGAGAGAGAGAGAGAGAGAGAGAGAGAGAGAAGAGGAAAAGAGAGAGAGAGAGAGAGAGAGAGAGAGAGAGAGAGAGAGAGAGAAAGAAAGATGGAGAGAGAGAGAGAGAGAATAGAAAGATGGAGAGAGAGAGAGAGAGAGAGAGAGAGAGAGAGAAATTGATAGATGGAAAGAGAGAGAGAGAGAAACAGATAGATGGAGAGAGAGAGAAAAGAGATAGAGAGAGAGAGAGAGAGAGAACGAGAGAGAAAGAAAGAAAGAGAAAGAGAGAGAAAGGAAAAGACAGCTCTGAATACAATACCTCCAGAATTTTCTCACATCTAGATACCATTTGATAAAAAAGACAACACATAAACCGTGTAAATAAAGGTGCAAACACACAAGCACACCATTATACATCCAGGCTATTACACAAATAGGATAACCCTGCATATACAAATTACACACATATACAGGTCTGCAAATAACTAGTTTAGGTACGGATGGTGAAAGTACAGGACTGCTACTGATCTGAAAAGAGAATAGTGATACTTGTTACGTATGTTTGCGTGTGTGTGTGTGTGTTTGTGTGTGTGTGTGTGTGTGTGTGTGTGTGTGTGTGTGTGTGTGTGTGTGTGTGTGTGTGTGTGTGTGTGTGTGTGTGTGTGTGTGTGTGTGTTTTGTGTGTGTGTGGTGTGTGTGTGTGTGTGTGTGTATGTGTGTGTGTGTGTGTGTGTGTGTGTGTGTGTGTGTGTGTGTGTTTGTGTGTGTGTGTGTGTGTTCGTGTGTAGGTGTGTGTGTGTTTGTGCGTGTGTGTGTGTGTGTGTGTGTGCTTTGTATTAATTTGTGGCTGTGATTTTGTAGAAATCCATCAAATGTAGTAAATAACAACTGCATTATTTCATTATTAATGAAAATATTTTTTTTCTTTTCTAATGTGAGACAATAAAAATAATAATAATAATAATGGTAAAATAAATGAATTAAAAACAATAAGAAAAACGATACGGGAATTAAGTTCTCTTTGGAATCGGCTTCTTCTAACCGTCATTAGTGTAATATCCGATTCCCTATCCGTTTTTGCGAATAAGATTTGTTCGTTCTAAGAAATTTCGGAAAAGATTAGTCTATTTCTGTTTCGCTCCTGTTGGCTCCTTTATTGTTCTTTCTTTCTCTCTGTTCGTCTGTGTGTGTATGTATTCCTGTCTGTGTGTTCGTCTCTCTCTCTCTCTCTCTCTTTCGCTCGCTCTCTCTCTCTCTCTCTCTCTTTCGCTCTCTCTCTCTCTCTCTCTCTCTCTCTCTCTCTCTCTCTCTCTCTCTCTCTCTCTCTCTCTCTTCTCTCTCTCTCTCTACACACACACACACAAAGACACACACACATACATGCGCGGGTTTGCATATGCACATAGTTATATATATCCCTATTTTCCCCTCCCCCCTCCTTCCCCTTCCCCCTTCCCTTCCACCCTCCCCCTCCCTTCCCCTTCCCCCCTTCACCCCCTCCCTTCCACCCTTCCCCTTCCACC